TTTGTGTGTGTGTGTGTGTGTGTGGCGCATGTGCACATGTGTAAGTTGATGTGTGCATTTGTGTGATTGAAATAGGTTAAGTGAGATTGTTTGAGAGGTCCAAGCGGTTCTTTTAGAGAGCTCTGGATGGAGAGAGAGAAAAAGGGGGCAATCTGCAATATAGTCCAAATTTCACCCATAAAAACTGATTTCTCTCGTCTAAACTGACCCACCAACCCACGAGGGGAGTTCAAGCCTTTGTTCATAACATTATCTATTGAGCCTCACTCCTCTTTTGCACTTAACACTGTTTTTTTTAATGTTTAATACTGCGCTAAATACCATTTCATTATAAATATGTAGTTCTGGTGTACATGTGTTTTGTATAGTACTCTCCAAGTCAGAAACCACCCTTCATTTTATTTTATTTTCTGTTAAGGTGGCCAATAAGTTCTGAATTTTTTGCCTCAAGAAGAAAGCAGAAAGTATGTTTAACAGAAAAATTATCTTTTCTGGAGATTTTTGTTTTCAGGTTTTCAAAGAAATCTGCAGGGATATTTTTCCACAAAGTTCATTTGGTTGCTTTTTCTGTTTCTCATGAACCAAGTAATTCTAAACACGTTCAGTGATGTAGAGGTCTGGACTCTGGGATGGTCAGTCCATTGTTTTTCGAGTATCAGCAGCTCCTTTGTTTGTTTTGCAGATTTTCCTTTTCTTGACAGCTACACATCCTTTCAGACCCAAAGCGCTGAGTTGTGTCCTCAGTTTTGCTAAGTTTTTAACATCTTTTTCTTTTTTATGTTAATAATATAATGTTATATTGTAATGTAATATATAATATATATATATATATATATATATATATATATATATATATATATATGTATGTATGTAAAGGTGTCAGTCCTGCACAGAGTAATGAAGAGAAAGCAGTAGGTGTGATAGAGGAAAAACCTTTCCATCACTCCCAGATTTCAAGTGCATGACCACTGGTATCAAATAAAACATTCTACTGAATGGACGAAGAAGGTGAAGTTTTTTCAGTAATCCTAATAGTATGTAATAAATCTTGTGCAACCCATAGATCTGTATTTAAAAACGTCCTCATTGATAAATGTAGGCCATCATCCATGCTGAAAAGCATTGCCTCCAGAAGATGAATTGTATAGGTATGCGAGGGAGGAGAGGGGGGTCATTTTATAATGTAGATCAGTTTGACGGAGTATCTCCTTGCTAACGTTGCTAGCGGTGAATGAAATGCATCAGGAGATGTTACATTAACCCAGCTAAAAGAAAGGGAAGCAGGAGAGGAAAAAATACCCCACTTGTCATTTGTCTTGTCAGAGACTTCATATTAGTCTCACTGTGGTTTCCAGTCTATCAGACCCTGCGTCTACAGTTACTGACTCACACCTTTTTCTCCCTCCCTCTCCACTCTAATCGTTTCCTCTTTTTCTCTTTTTTCTACCTTTCTTTCTCCTTGTGACTCGTGTATCTCCCTGCTCTCTTTTTTCTCTCTCACTGTGTCTCTCTCTCCCCCTCCCATTCCCTCTCTCTTTCTCTCTCTCCTCTCTTTCCCCTTGTGCCTTATGTATTTCGCTTCTTTTTTCTGTCTATCTCTCTGTTTCTCTCTCTCTTCTGTTTCCCGTTGTGCCTTATGTATGTCTCTTCTTTTCTTTTTTCCTTCTTTCTCTCTGTTTTTCTCTCTCTCTCTCTCTGTTGCTCTTACTCTCTCTACCTTACCTTCTCTATCCCCTTCTCTCTCTTCTCCTTTTTGCTTTCTCCATCCTTTTCTCTGTTTTTCTTTCTCTTTATCTCTCCTTCTCTCTCGTCTCTCTTGCTCTTTCCATTTTCTCTCTTTCCATCCCGTTCTCTCTCTTCTCTTTCATTTTCTCTCTCCATCCCTTTCTGTCTCATTCTCTCTCTCTCTTTCTTTTCTATCTCCCTCCCTCTCTCTCTCTGTCTGTCTCTCACATTCTCTCTTACTCCCCTACTCTCTCTCTGTCTCTCTTTCTCTTCTCTCTTTCCTTTTCCATCTTCATCTCTTTATCTCTCCTCTCTCCTCTGCTCTCTCTCACTCTCTCTCTTTTACTCCCTTACTCTCTCTCTATCTATCTATCTCTCTCTCTCTCTTTCTCTCTCTCTCTGTCTGTCTCTCTCTCTTTCTCTCTCTTACTCAGTAAAAGAGGCCATGGCTCCCATCAGGTTAAACAGATGGGGTCTTCCTGAGCTGAACCTGGAGACCATGCAGTGCAGTGAGCCGTGCGTATTTGCTGGGGGAGACGTGGCTGGCCTGGCCAACACCACTGTGGAGTCCGTCAACGATGGCAAGCAGGCCTCCTGGCACATCCACAGATACTTACAGGTGCCCCAAACCTCTCTCTCTCTCTCTCTCTCTCTCTCTCTGTTCCACACACACAGCTCACAGCTTACTCTGCTGCTGTTTGTGTACAGACATGCAGTCACAAACAGCGACGTATTCATTAGAACCAAACTTACACATACACATGTAACCACACACACACACACACACACACCCAAACACTTGTTTTTGTGCTGATGAGACCCAAACAGATGTTACCCTGATTAAGTCCCGTGTTAAGATCAAAAGCCGACGGAAAGGGAGGATTTGGAGAGCTGATTAATTATGAAGATGAGAGCTTTACATGTACTCTACACGGGGAGAGATGTGACGCTGCTGGATACAAAAGCCTCTCAATATGAGTATTTTTATGACTAATCAGAGTACAATAATGAATACATTAACATTATACTGTGCAATAGGGGAACAGCACAATAGTGATCCTGCAGCTTTATACAGTGCCCTGCGCCTGATGACGGACTTACCAGTCCACGTAGGATTATTTCTTAAACCTCACCTTCGAGGCTTTGGCAATAGAAACTTGTTTGGATTAATAGCGAAGAGAGAGAGAGAGAGAGTGAGCGCATTTAGCTTTGTCTTAGCTGTGTGGTCTAAGGCACACTAGGCTCCTAAAAGAGGCTTACACAGGCTCATATCCCCCCCTCTAACCTCTATTCACTGGCACACAGCCAAACACTGAACAGAGCCCCCCAGCCATGCGCTAAAACCCACTCAGCTCTTACACCAAATGCATTCATGTTCCAAATTGATTTTAGGTTTGTGAATAGTGCTTTGTCATCAAATCAAAAACACTAAGAAGGTGAAATGCTGAACTAGGATTGTCGCAATACCAGAATTTCGACTTCAATACCAATACCACGGGTAGTGTTACAAGACTCGATAACTATTGGGGCTGTCAAATGATTAAAATAATAAGTAAGATAAATCTAATTATTTGTGCATTAAATCACGATTAATCACATTCTTTTGTGTAGTTAAATAATATTAATCACATTTATCTTTTTTGCTCATGACACTAAGGAAAAGTTTTTTTTTTCATTTAAAAAGCAGTTTATTTTGTTATAGCTATATTCCATAGGCTGAATGTGGTTTCCATTTTTTTTATCGCCAGCGTCCAGTGAGAGTAACAGTGGCTGCATGTTTCTAACCTGTCTAATCTAACCCTAACTCCTCCGTAATTACAGTCCTCTCACTTTCATACCTCCACATTTAGTCTTACTTTAAAAGTAACTGTGGCTTTCCACTTTGCTATTGTTTGTTAGTTTGCTGCTTGACCTCCCAAGAGCGCTGTATACTGCGTCCTCCAATGCTAATGTAAATGATATTACTGGTATTGCCAGTGGTGGGTTGTACTTGTAATTGATTCTTCAAGCTCAATGAACTTCAGTTGTTAACAAATTCACCATTATAGTAGCTGGAAATACCTTTTTTTTTAATCAGCAGAGCCAACAATGGATCTTGCCATTTAACAGCTGTATTTGAACCGGAGGAGTCAAACATAGTAGCATATAGCCAAAGATCATACAAACAGCTTGCAAGCAGCTGGGATGCAAGCTGGAACTGCACATGGATCAAAGGGTTAAACTAGGAAAATTAGTTAATGGCATAAAAAGGAAGTGGAGTTAATAATAAAATGTGTTAACCTGTTACTAACGTTAAATCTGACAGCAATTCTGTAGCAGAAAAACATTTGTCATCGTATGAACACCCAATGTTTATTAGACTGAAAACAGAAAAATATTCAACTTGTTACATCCTAAATCATCTTTGATTTTCAAATTCAATTGCTTTTAAGGAATATAGAACTTTTCATATGTTAAATAAAGCAAATAAGAAAATAAATGATTTAATATATAAAGTGTTGTATTTAAGATGTTCTGAAGTGAGACAAGGCAACAAATAAAAGCTAACAGCAGTGAATTTTGGTGTCTGCTGGTTGTAGAATCATAACTTCTCCTATGTTGCTATATATATATATATATATATATATATATATAGCTATATATATATATATCATATATATATATATATATATAGCTATATATAGCAATCTACAAAGTTCATCTACATATTTTAAATATGCTAATGAGCATCTGTATCTGCCTGTGCAGGTCAAATTAGCATGTACAATTTAATTTGTCTATGGGCAACTTATGTAATGTTAGCTGATTTTACTAAAGCACTGACAGTATTCAAGGTATTAAATTTACCACATTAAAATGTCGAAAAAGCATTGAACTTTCTATCATGCAACATTACACTGACTGGCAGAGCAGGTTTTTTTGGTTTTGGAAAGAAAGTAGCAGTAATTTGTGCACATGATATATATTTCCATGCTCAGTGTGACTAATTGAAGCTTGCATTAAGGCACTAGTAAAGTGCATTAGGCTTAATGTAAATGGCCTACACTTGTCTGCTCATTTCAGAGACTCATGGATGAGAATTGGAGAACATGGCCTAATGTCCCCTTGTATACGCTGAGACGTGAGACACTGAATGGGCAGCAGGCAGGCTCCTCTCCTCCAGGTTTCTGACCCCCTCCTCAGGCCTCCATTTAGCAGAACTCTGCCGCTGAAGTGCAGCACTCGCCCCATTAGTGTGGTTCATTTAGGGGTTAATTGTCCTAGCGTTGCTTTGGTCAGAGCAAGGCAGAGATAACTGTTTATTTGTGGATGAAATTACTACTTGTAGCAGGAAAAGGACAGACAGCAAGATTGCTTTTTTCCCTTCTTTTTTTTAAAGTAATGGACTACGGTAGAGGAAATGAATTGAGCACTTTGTGGACAGGTTCACAGATTAATGTTAGAAATGCTCTCAGATCAGCTGAACTCTCTGCACTGCATCTTTTTTCAGCGCTCTCCGCTGTCGCTGTGCAGTTCCTCTCTGAGCACCTACGCAGCAGTATCTCACTACCACCTTGAGATAAAACAGTGAAGATGCAAACTTCCCCTCCCTGAACAATATGAAACCAAGACTTGTCTTTACGTAAATATTGGACATTAATTATTGCAAATTATTCAATAAACAAACCCCAGTAATTAAGGATATCATCTGCCAAAGACTTATCTAGCGTGCAAATGTTTGACAACTGCAGTCTCCTTCAGTGCCCTAGTGGGCTTCAGAATTTCCCTTGGTGTTCGTTGTTTTTCTCTGGTGGTGGGTACAGGAACTTTGCCGGCTCTCTCTCTGTCTCGCTGTCTTTCTCTGTCTCAGTGGAATATGGAGGACTGTCATGTCTGCGTGCTCTTTCTCTTTCCACGTGACACCCCCCTTGTTCATTATACGGCGGTGACATCATTACAAAAGCAATGCTAAGCGCTTGATAAACGCGAGGCTAATTAAAGCGAGAGCTGATGTATGACTGAGGTTTGCTGCCTTTGTGTCGCAGTGGGCCGCGATAAACAGTGCGGCAGGGTTTCACCCAAACACGCCCCGCAATCTTGTCTACCCTATCTGCTGGCCTATTGTTGCTGTAAACGCACACGTGCGGCTGTGTGCTCGACTGTAAAGCGCAATAACCTTGAGCAATATTCATTCACAGAGATAGCGAGCCTCCTTGTGGGATTTTAAAGGCTTTGTTCACATGAAAATAGTTGATCTCGATTCCACAGAGCAGAGAAATGCTCTGCTGCAAAGCCCTCAATTTACATGCGATTGCTTCTCTTTGCAGGCCATCCACGGGCAGACGGTTAGCAGCCACCCGCAGCTGCCCCTCTTCTACTCCCCCATCGATGCCGTGGACATCAGCGTGCAGATGTGTGGGATCAAGTTCCCCAACCCGTTTGGTCTGGCCAGCGCCCCACCCACCACCGGTGCAAGCATGATCCGCAGAGCCTTTGAGCAGGGTTGGGGCTTCGCCCTCACAAAAACCTTCTCCCTCGACAAGGTAGCCCCCTCTTAACTGGATCTTAAATATTAAACACTACATTAGAACTGGTTGAAACAGTGTATGATGATGCATCGATCTGAAGGTGCCAGTTCAGCTGCATCAATTTTGAAATGTTAGCATTGATTAATAATGAGTTTAATGATTGGTTGGCATTGTCCTGCACTTAGGAACTGAATTTGAGTTTGAGTTTAATTGCCTGTTCAGGCTAGGATGCCACAACTATACCAGTAATAGTCTTTATATAAATAGCTCCTAATATTTTGTTTGCTCATCATTTCAGAGTTGCTGTGGATAAGAAAAGAAAATCTAAATAATAAATCAAATTCTTGGGCTTTTTTGTCATGTGAAAATCTAAATCTAAAAAGATGCTCGCTACTTTGAATTAACTGTCGATGTTCTACTATTATATAAAAAGTTTCTCCCAGTCACATTTAAGTGTTCAGTATGTTTTTGAAAATAATTCTGAATCATACCAAAATAAAATCAAACCAAATCGTGTTGAAGTTATAGATTTCAGGATTCATTGAATCATTTCTTAAAGAATTATAATTAAATCAAATCGTTCTTACACTATGGACAAGATTTAATAAATGCTTGTGGTGGCATTAATGCATTTTGCACACGCAAGAGCACTTCATGAATATGCATTTCAGGGTGTGGCACTGTTGAGCCACAAAAATGAGGTGAGGAGTGACTTACTAATCTGAACTGATGCCAGTAGAAGCAGGAACAGTTACTTTGAAAACACCACACTGAAGGGATGAGAGAATTGTTATTAAGGAAGTTAATGAATTTGTTAATGTGAGCGAGCCATTATAGGAAATGCATGTACAATTTTTAGGCTGTACATGTTTTAAATGGTAATGCTTAAATCTAAGAAGTAAAAAAATAATAAAAAATAATAAAAATAAACACTATATATATATATATATATATAGTGTTTATTTTTATTATTTTTTATTATTTTTTTACTTTTTAGATTTAAGCATATATATATTATATATATATATATATATATATATATATTCTCCTTATGATCTATGAAATGCAAGAATTTGTATTATTCATGCAGAATTAGAAACAAGCCTTCAGGTTTTGGGACTGTCCTGTAGGGACGTTGGAAGTGGTGGTGCTGAGGGGGCTGCAGGACCCCCGGATTCAATGATTGCAACTAAAAACAACAATAATAACAATACAGAGATCTGAACTTTTTATTAATTTGAGCATAGCAATGACCCAATATGGTTGGTCGCTGCTCAACTCATTTACATAAAGTTCATCCAGAATGAGAGAGCAGAGAGATGTGCTTCAGCAGTCTGATATGTCGGTTCTTATCTCATTATAGTTCTCATTCCTGCTGCCCTGTCACATGTAGAGTTTTTTCATCTTTTACCTTTTTAAGCTCATCCATGGATCTTTTGGTAGTTTGTAGGTCGATTGTGTCGATTGTATTTATTTTATTCATAGTGATTTCCCAAACCACTCATTGTTTAGCAGTGGCAACAGCCTCCTCTGTCAGAACTTCTTTCTCTATTTTCAGCTGATTGAAAAGCGCTCCATGTTGATCTGTATATCAACCCCTCTACAATTCGTTCAAGCAGTTTGTGGGTGATATCATTTAAAATCAGGTTATAGGTCACAAACAAAAAGTTATGCTTACTAAATTGTAGCACACACTGCCGTTTCTGCATGCTCCTCGCCCTGAATGTTCAAAAGTGACCAGATTGACATTTCTTCCAAAATTACTAGCATTAATAGGGAGTTTGCCCCCTCTTTGCTTTAGTCTTCACTCTTCTTGGAAAGCTTTACACTAGATGTTGGAACATTGCTGCTGGGATTTGCTTCCATTAAACCTCAAGAGCATCAGTGAGGTCAGGCTGATGTTGGGCGATTAGGTCTGGCTCACAAACGCCACTCCAGCTCATTCCAAAACTGCTGAATGATGCTTCATCACTCCAGAGAACCCCGTTCTGACCCAATGCTGAGGAGCTTTATACCCCTCTAGCTCACACTTGGCATTGCACATAGTAGTCATATGTTTCTATATGGCTGGTCCAATGTGTCCAATTCTACTGCCAGTGCTTTTCTGTAGAGCTTACATGGATGTGTGGGTGCATTTTAACACCTCAGCATTGGTCGTGCCTTCAAATAGCGGAATTTACAAATTAAAAGGGGTATAGCTTTCATGAGCAATAGCCCATAATAAAACTGACCATGCATCAAGGCCAGATTGTGTTTCCTACCAGCTGATGAGGTTTTGTTCCAGTAGGTCAGAGAGCATACAGGTGCTTTGCATCTCTAAAACCATAATTCAGCAGTGTAAATGAAATTAATCAGCTCATGTGCACTCACCCAGTGCACTATAGCGACTTTTGTGAGTTTACTGTTGCCCAGGGGCTTAAAGTCCTTTTCAGATGACTTCACAGATATAGAGCGGCAGTCACAGTCAACTCATATAGATGCACCCTCGTACACACTACCATTCCAAAGTTTGAAATCACCATTCAAAAGTTTGAAATCACTGTTATCATTAATGTAAAACCCATTTTGTTCACTCTACATGTATAAAATGATTCTGTTATGATGCTGCTAGTCTACAACAGTATTGGTTTCAACTAATATGCACAAACTGAGACTGAGAAAGCTGTATAACACTGAGAATGAAGTTCAGAAAAAACTTTAATACATTCTTGATATACTTCAAAATGTTGTATTAAACATCTTAAATGGTTTATAGTATCACAGTCTATACTATATAATATTATATGTTATTATTGAATAAAATAACAGCAGTTATTAATTTGACACGATTCCAAACTTAAATGACAATGTAGAAATACAACATCTAGGCTTGTCACATTGTGACAATTATGATCACAATTATTTTTCAGAGTTGTTAGCTTTCACAATCAAATGTTTGTCACGACAAACAGAATGTGAATTTGGTGTGTTTTCATCTGTTGGTTTGAGAAAGTTAAAGGCAAAAAAAATCAGAAAGGGAATTTGTCGAGGCATGTCATTGGTTTTATGAAAATAATATAAATTCTAAGTTCTAAGAGCTACTATGCATTGACTGCTAGGAACTAAGATAGTCATTCATAAGAGTGGACGACATGGCGATAATACAGGATGATGATACTCACAGCACACAACACATATCACAATATTTAGTTTTTCTGAGGTTTGATAAGTTGGAACAGAGAGTAGAGAAGGGGTATGGCCCTTATTTCAAAAATACTATTAATTACTACGAATAGCATGATTTTTATTCAGTGTTTTACATGCTGTGCTGAACTAAATCCAGTAAGACAGGACTGAATATGCTTCCTTGAGAAGTATTGTAGTATTGTGTTGTATGTAAAATCAAAATTATGCTGTGACCCTAAAACAAAGCTGCCCAAAGTTTGGCCAAGTTGCCTAACCCCCTACCCCCCAGCCACTGACAGAATATGTATTTTTATAAAACTTTTTATTGTAAGCTTCTTATTTTCTTCTAAAATTTGTTGTTTTCTTTTTTTGAAGTACTTTTGTATAAAACGCATAGGGTCAGTTTCCCAGACATGGATTAAGCCTTGTCTTGGATTAATTGCAGTAAAAGTGGTGAATCACCTTTATAAATTCATTTATGTGAAAGTCTGGAAAACTAGCCCATAGTCCAATGTTACAAGTAAATTAAAAATATGTATATGCCCATTGATACCATATAATTGTCAGTGACTGCAGTACAGTAACAACAATTATGTAGTTATGAGCTAATAGAGCGTAACAGGCAGTGGTACACTGACAAGAGAAGGATTAGAGACCCTCATTGGGAAGAATATTTTTTTTACTCAACTTAAAGGCAAGGCAGTGTGCCTTATATGTAAGGAAACTATAGAACTATTGGTATTTATAGAATACAGTTTCTCCACGTATGCTGGCGGTGTGCAAAAATGTAAAGCTAATGAGTTGCTACCCAGCTGATTTGTTCCTTTGACTCTTGGCCCACTACAAATGTTACACTCCAGCCCCCCCCAAGCAAAAAAGTTTGGGCACCCCTGCTCCAAACAAGCAAAATTGTAGTGTTCTTTTTCTGTAGAGTACTTTTGGTCATCGTAATATTGCCCTTACCTAGTTAATCAGCCAGTTTGGCTACTTTAGGATTGTACTTTAATAGTTGCATATAATGAACAAAAAAGACAAATCATTCATCACATTATTTGCATGGCGATTAACTTTCAGCTGAAATTTCATGAACATTACAAGCCTAAAAGCAACAGTAGCGGTCAACAACCATTAGAGTCATCAGTGATCTGTCAGTGCCTGCCAGTATTTACTGAATGTATTTGACTCTATTGAGACCTAGCCTGGCAACACTAAATAAAAGCAGTATTTAAAGAACCTTAACAAAAGTTGCGAAGACTGTATTAAACTTTTATTTTTCCTCTACTGCTGGTGGTGAGAATGTTCACCAGTAACATATGTTTATTCTGTGCTACAGTAGGTGCCATCTCTTTATTAGCAGAGCTGGAGATGGAAATGAAATGAAAGATAAAAAAAGAAAGGAGAGGGTGGATGAGAAAAAAAAGCAACTTGTGACAGACATCACTATAGCAACACAGAAGATTTACATATGCTGCTGAGGGGGAAAAAGTAGAGGAAATTTAGCAAAATCGTTTGTTTATCCTGACCTCCCGTCCTCTCCATGCAGCTAATTTCTGACAGCGAGGGAAGTCATGCTTGGAGTGTAAGCAGTATTTTTGCCGGACTGATGCGTCTGTGTGAGCGATGGCATCATGCCTGGTGTGAAGCAGCCCTTCCGCAGCTCTTCTTTCACACACGCCCTGTCCGCTTTGAAACGGTCAGGGTTTTTTTTTTATTTTTTGAGACAAATGAAATGGAAGAGTTCACGGTGGAGATGGCAGTAAGGATGTATTACACTTGCAGCGCTCTCTTTTAAAAATACAGTGATTTGCCTGGCCTGCGTTTACCGTTGGGTTTCAGAGGAAGGCAGGACA